AGAGACAACTTGCCCTGTCTGGTGTGTCTCAGTAGATTGAGCGCCGGTCTGTGAACCAAAGGGTTGCTGGTTTGATTCCCAGTCGGGCACAAGCCTGGGTTGCGGGCCAGGTCCGCACTTGGGGGCATTCAAAAGGCAAAGACACATTATTTCTCTCCCTCTTTTTCTCCCTCTCTTCTCCTCTCCCTAAAAATAAATAAATAAAATCTTAAAAAAAAAAAAAGACACCTTGCCTCATCCCCAGTCTTGGGACAGAAGTGTTCAGTCTTTTCATCATTAATTATGTAGTGATCCTTAGGCTTTTGTGTAAATACTCTGCCAGGTTAAGCAATGCCCTTCTGTTTCCTAATTTGCTAAGTTTCTTTTCCCCATAATCATGAATAGATTTTGGATTTCTTTGAATACTTCATCTGTTGGGATCATATGTTTTTCAGTTTTTTGATGGGGTGAATTTCAATGGTTGTTTTTTTAATGTTGAGCCAGTCTTGGCATTTATGGAATAAGCAACACTTGCCTGTGACATACCCGTTTTATATATTGCTGTGTTTGTAACATTTATTTTAAAAGTAGTAAATGAAATATGTGTGATTGCTTACTACTAATTACTAAATCCTGGACACTTTTAAAAGTCATGATTTGTGTGTTTAATTTTGTCAATAAATATCTGACAGTTATAGTGTACCAGGCATTGTTTTAAGTGCTGGCTATTAGAACATTGAACAAAACAGATGTCTGTCCTTAAACTATATTCCTCCCTAGAATGTAATAAAATGTTAGCTAGTGCCATGAGGAACTATAAAGCAGTGTAAGGGAATGGAGAGTCATGAAGCGAGGGGCTAAAGCTATTGTAAATATATTGGTCAAGGAAGGACTCTGATGAGGTTGCTGTAGAGCAGAAACATAAATGAAGTGAGGGAGCTAGCCTTTGGGGAAACATTTTTTCTAGGTTGAGAAAAGAGCAAGTATGAAGCCCCTGCAGTGGGGATGTGCTTGATATATCGTTTCAAGAATGGCACAGAGGTCGTTGTTTCCGCAGTGTAGTAACCCATGGAGAGAGTTGCAGAGGGTGAGGTAGTCAAGGACCTGTAGAACTTTGTAGGCCATGGTAAGGATGACTTTGGATTTTTTTCTAAGTATATGGCAACCACTCATTTATTCAGCAGATATTTACTGAGCACCTGCTATGTGTCATATAGTGTTTCATGATGGTGATACAGTGGTTAACAAAATAGTAAGTTACAAGCCTTAGAAATGTTAATGATAAGCATAGCTGTTTATGGAGGTTGTCAGAAGTGGTAGAATTTAGAATAATCAGGAAACATTTTTGTACACAGTGATTACATATTTAAATAATTGGAATGAATGCACTTATGCTTTATGCTAAAACTATATGAACATATTTGACCTTTTTAAAAAAAATGACAGGAAACATTGTTTTCATCAGTTTATTTTGGCTACAAACTAGAGAGATTTTCAGGCCAGATTTTTCATAAGGGTACACTTGAGAATAGACTATGGAAGAACTTCACATAAATCCTAGAATAGAAACTGTGATATGGGCTGGCCTTCCAGAGACTAGAACCCAAAAGTCTTTGTATCTAATTGGGTTCGTTACTATTGCTATGTAACAAATTACTTAAAATTTAATGGCTTGAAGTGTTTTTGTGCAGATCAGAGCTGTAGGCATGGCTTGGCTGGGTGCTTCTGGCTAAGGTTTCTCACAAGGTTGCAGTCAACTGTAGTCACCTGAAAGCTTGACTGGGGAAGAATCTACTTCTCAGATCCTCAGATCACTCATACACCTATTGACAGGCCTCACTGCTATCTGTTGGCTGGAGACAATAGTTCTTTGCTATGCGGGTCTTTTCAGCTCATAGCATGGCACTTGGCATCTCTGAGTGAGAGGTTGGCAAGATGGAAGCCACAGTCACTTTGTAACCGAATCTAGGCAGAGACATCCCATCACCTCTGCTGCCTTCTGTTTCCTAAAAGCAAGTCAATAAATCTCGTCCATACTCAAGAGGAGAGGATTACATAAGGGTATGAATACCAGGAGATGAGGATTATTAAAATCACTTTGAAAGCTGTGTGTGTGTGTGTGTGTGTGTGTGTGTGTGTGTGTGTGTGTCTTTTATCCTAGTTCTCTACCATAAAATGCCTTAGCCTCTTAATCTGCATTTATTTCTTCCACCTTCACTTTTTGATACCAACTCTAATTCCTTACTGTTAACCTGTGTATATTTTATCTATCTCTTATTTTTATTTTTCCCTTTAGTTTATCCAAGGCCTAACATCAACTGTACTGCCTCATGGTATTTTACCTCTATCCCTTCTACTAGCCTCTTTTATTATATCCTTAGCACTTTGTACAAATTTTTGAGATGTAGTAGGCGGGTAGGGAAGGGATGGAGTATAGTATCTTTTCAATATAAATCAGCAAGAGCAGTGATTAAGGCAGTATACCTTGGAGAACAATGTAATTATTCAAATATTGTTGTACATGTTTATAGATTAGAGATACAGTCACTGAGTTGGTGACAGATTGACTCTTGAAAAAAATTTACCAATGCTAATAACTTGTTTTATAATTATTTATATATATCTCATGAAAGTAGAACGTAAAATATATACTAAAAACCCAATAATCTGGTTATTTTTCTTTTCCTTTTTTGTGAATTTAGGAGAAATGAGTCTGTTATTTATAATACTTATTACTTTTTAGGCATTATATAAAGAATGTGTACATTTTGAGACATAAGAACTTTGGGAGAGAATTACACATAAATCTACATTTTTTGAGATATGATATGGTAAAGTATAGAAAAGGGAAACATCTATTTTTTTTTTAATCACAGAGAATTAACAACCATTAACATTGGTTCATTGTGTTCATTAACATTGGTTCATATTTAGTCTTCCCCCCACCCCAAGTAATACAATTCTGTAGTTAAAATTTAACTTCTCTTGAACCATCTCTGTTAGTTCTGTTTCATGGAACTTACTTGATGCAACTACTATTACAAGTTTGGTGGTTATTTTTCTGCTTTGTTTTTTAAACAGATAAACAGACACATATATACCTATACAGTACATAGGGCTTTGTGTTTGTATTTTATTTGTATGGTATCATACTATATACTGCACCATCTTTTTAATTTTATACTGTTTTTGAGGTTCATGCATTGTACATATAGATCTAGGTCATTCTTTTTTAACTGCTATGTAGTATTCCATCATGTTTCATTATACATTCTCTTATTGTTAGGCACCTAGATTGCTTTGAAAAATGTTTTTCTATTACAAAACTTCTCTTTTGTGTACCCGTGATTAGACTTAAAATATTTTTTCAATCTTGTGGTTAGAAAACTGGTCTCTTGCTTTATTAATCTACATTTCCTTCATTACTGGTGAGATGAGTATGTGTTTAATGACTGTTTGGATATCATCATCTGTGAAATGCCTGACTGCTCTATTCTTCGCCCATTTGTAGGAGTTCTTTATGAATTCTGGATACTAATTCTTTATTTTTTATATATGTTGTAGATATCTTTTCCTAGTCTACCACTTGCTTTTAATGCTATATATGTTCTTTTTTTTAATTGCATAGGAATTTCCTTGCTTCTTTTTTCTTTTGACCATTCTTACTAATCTTTACAAAGAATTACCTTTTGGTTTTGTGTTTTTACATAGGAAATAAAGGTATAGAATTACAGCTAGCACATTGTATGTGAACATACAAAATGAGAGTGTGGCCATTTAAGTGACTCTTAACTATCATGTGTGTTGAAACAAAATGATGGAGTATTGTAGTTCCAAAGTGTCTTCAGAAACTTAGAATTGTTCATGATAAAAATTTTTTTTCACTAACTATTCAGTCTTCATAATTTTTAATGGTACTGAATTAATTTTTTCTATATTTCAGAATATATGGTCCATATTTTTCTTTTGATAAAAATACAATGAAGTTTGTTTAATTTTGGGATTAATCTTTAGTGGTCATCTGTAACAGTCCCCAGCGATTTTTCAGGTAGGATTAACAGCTTCTATGATGATAACTGATGAGTATCCATTTTTAAAAAAGAAAAAACATTATTGCAGATGCTTTTTCAGGAAAGACTTGCACATTGCAGATTAGGCAACTTTTCACTCTCACATTTTTAATGGCTGTTATATACTTTTTAAATCTGTAGTTCAGTTCACATATCTTCTTACATTTTTAGTATATTTTAGTATATATTGTTATTAATACTATTCAGATTGTAAAATTTAAATTGAGCAGTGGAGGTTTTGACCAACTTCTATTAAGGTAATTAATTCTTTTGGCTGACAGTATGGGATTGAGTTACATTTTACAGTGTGATTTCCAGATTCAGGGTTTGAATTTATTGACTCTAGACATTGTTTAAAAATGGAATCTTGAGATGAACAGTTGAGTCTTGAACACCACTTGTTTGAACTGCGCAGGTCCCCTTACATACACATGGTTTGGTTTTGGGCTTTTTTTTTTCCAATTAAAACTGTAAATCTATTTCTCTTCCTTATTTTCTTAATAACATTTTATTTTATCTAGTTTATTCTAAGACTACACATGACATACAGAGTATGTGTGAATCAACTATTTATGTTTCACTTTTTGGGGAATAAATAGCTATATGCAGATTTTCGACAGTGTGGGTGGTTGGTGCCCCTAATGCCTGTGTTGTTTAAGGGTCATCTGTATTATATCCACAAATACTTGTCTAATGCTTTCTGTGCTGGATAGTGTGAAACTGTAATTGGACTTTTGGGTATAGGCCCACAGTCAGAGTGAAGAGTAGTTTGGTGCTACTGAATTCTTTATGAGCTAGAAAAGAGCCGAGAGATAGTGTAAAGAGTTGGGGAATAAAGGAGTTTGAGTTTGTTCACATTTTAATCAGAAACATTAAAAAATGTTGCCCTCGAAAAACATACAAGCATAAACTTTTCTAGATATTTGATTACTTATTTTTACATTATTTTAGGTTTCCAGTAATTATCTGCAGGACTCGCCATGACCCCAGCTCTGAGGGAGGCAGCAACAAAGGGTATCTACTTTTCATCTTTACCAAGTACCATGGAGTCTGACAAGATGCTATGCATGGAAGGTCCAAGAACTGTAGATGAAAAGCTAAAGGGAGACACGTTCTCTCAGATGCTGGGATTTTCAACTCCTGAACCTACTGTTAACACTAATTTTGTGAACTTAAAACATTTTGGTTCCCCTCAGTCTTCAAAACATTATCAGACAGTTCTTTTAATGGGTTCTAATTCAACATTAAATAAATACAGTAAGAATTATAAACAAAAGAAATTAGGAGAACCCGACTGCAATAAGCTGAAAAACATACTGTGTAATGGCAGCAACATTCAGCTCAGTAAAATCTGTCATTCTCATTCTGAAGAGTTCATCAAAAAGGAACCTCTGTCAGATAACACGAGCCAGTGCATGACAGATGTAAAACTTATTTGGGATTCAAGTATAACCAAAGACACTAAAGTAGATAAAGTACAACTAGAAAACTGTAAATCATACCAAATGAATGCACTTTTGGATAAAGTTACTGATGCTGAGATTAAAAGAGGTTTATTGCACTCTGCTCAAAAGAAAATTGGGCTTGGCCATTCAAATGTGCCTATTAGTTTCTCAGCTGCTGAAAAAGAGGAGGAAGTGCATGCTCGTTTACTTAATTGTGTAAGCAAACAGAAAATTTTACTTAACCAGGCTAAAAGAACTCAGAAACATTTGCAGATGCTCCTGGCAAAGCATGTTGTTAAACATTATGGTCAGCAAATGAAATTTTCTATGAAACATCAGCTCCCCAAAATGAAGATCTTTCATGAACCTACCACAATTTTGAATAACAGTTTACCTAAATGCACTGAAATTAAGCCAGACATCAACTTATTGACTGCAGAGAATAAATTGTGGAGTGATACAAAAAATGGCTTTGCACGGTGTGCAGCTGCAGAAATGCAAAGATTTGCGCTGTCTGCTACAGGGCTGTTGTCTCATGTCGAAGAGGGTCTGGATTCTGATGCAACTGACAGCAGCTCTGATGACGATTTGGATGAATATACCATTAGAAAAAATGTGGCAGTGTAAGTGCAAAATTATTATTAGCCTTTTACTGTTCTGTGTATAGCAGCAATTTTGTCTTGATTTCAAGATATATTAAAAGGAAATAGATTTTTAAAAATCTTAATGCTGTAATCCTTAAATTATAGAACTGGTAAATTTTAAAAAGTGTTTCTTTATCTTTTAAACTACTGTATGGGTGTGTATATATATATATACTATTTAAAAATGAGTTACTCAACTGCTCTATCTAGGAAAAACCAACACAGAAATAATACAAGCTAACTGGCTATAAGTAAGCTCTTTTCCTATTCTTGATAGAATGGGCTACAGAGAAGGCCTAAAATTTTGCTTAGGTGATCTAGCCAATGTGTATAGCTAAAACTCAAAAAAAAAAAAAAAAGTTTGCACATAGGGAACTCTCCTTGACTTCAGGAGTTTTCAGTTGAGAGTACATATAAGTTGACCTGCTACTTTTATTTTTAACTATTTATATATTTATATTCACAGCTTTTAGCTCTGGTCTTCACCAACTTAGTCAGTTTTGCTAGATTAATGTAGCCAAAATAAAACTGTAATGTCAGCTGCTAGATACCTGTTGAATGCCTAATATATGCTCCACCCTAGAGAGTCTAAATATTCACAGCCTCTCCCTGTTAGGGAATTTTCTTCAAAGAGAGGTTTATAGATACTAAGAAAAACAGAGCAAAATAGTTTTACTTATCATGTTAACATTCAAGAACAGCTCTGTCTGGTAGAAGTTTTTGAGATGACGGAATGTTCTGTGTCCACGACCCTGTAGGCACTATCCTCATGTGGCTATTGAGCACTTGAAATGTGACCAGTACAACTGAGGCACTAAAATTTTAATTTTATTTAATTTGAATTAATTTTATTTAAATAGCCAGATAGAACATAGTTTTTAATCTAGCTTTCAGGGGATCTCTTAATGTCCCTAAATTGATACAAAATACTCTGTGTATATGTGGTATTTTTGGAAGGGAGTTCAACACTTTTATCAAATTCTTAAAGGTGAATGAGAATCATCGTAAAGTTAGAAGCTGAACACAGTTTTTACTTATAAAAAGGAGAGTGTATTAATTTTCATAGTGAGAATAAAATGTAAAGCAAAGTCCTTTGGTGTTTTGTTATTACTATATGAAATTTGTTTGAACATGAGAGCCAACAGTTACGGAGCACATGTTTTTCTGACTGACATTGTGCTATTTATTTTACATATGATATATTATTTGATCCTTTCAACAGTGTGGGAAGTAATTGTTGTTACCTCATTTCACTTAAGAAGGAACAGATTCAGCATGATTTAGTAATTTGCCCATGGTCAAAAAGTCAAGTGTCGAAGCTATGAATCTTTCTCATTTACTTCAAAGTTTGTGCTCTTTCTATTGAACCATGCAACTTTGTCAACATTATATCATTGATAATTATAGCCACTAGAATTATTAAGCACATGTATTCCAAAAGAAGCCCAGAAATTTATTCGTTTCATAGTTCTAATTTAATAAAATTTAGTAGGTATATTGAATACATTGTTTATTATTTTGTTGTTGAGAAGAGCTAATGGATAGATTTGTCTCTTCTAAGGTAGAAACAGAAATAGGACAATCATGTCTTTCTAGACTATTTTGACCTTTATTAGTGTTCTCTTCCATTGATTTCTTATACTTACAATCTGACGTACAATTTATCATTAAATCATATTTTGTCCTATATGATTTGCCAGTATATCTATTAGTCTTAAGACCCCAGTAACTAGGAACAGTGGAAACTACATTTTATAGTTTTAAAATTTTTCTTATATATCAAGCAAATAATTACTGATAGGTCAATACATTTTGTTTTAATATTCGCATTTACTCCTTGAGTTTATTGAGAGAGCACTAATTCAGACATTTGAATAAAACATACACAGATGAAGAAAATCAAACCATTGAAATTATTTTTATACCAACCATTGGGCAATATACCCTCATTTCTTTTTAACTTTGCCAGTTCTGTGAGGAAAATTGAAGTAAAGTAGCCTGGAAAGAAATTGGGTTCAGGCTTGGAAAGTTTATTTCTCTTTGTGTCTTTGTTTTTCCTGTAATCAACTACAAGGGCTTCAAAGATGCTACACGTACATTCTAGGAAAATAATTAGTCGGAGACGTTTAATATTCTTTAAGGTATACTTCTAGCTTCTTGCATTACTGACCTTTTAATATTATGATGTCTTAGTAAAGCTCATATTTATAGTTCTAGAAGTCAAATACAGCTTGTTCTAAGCTACACTTATGTGATCGATTCAAATCAATAATATGAAATTTATATAACTTTTTGAAATCTTTAATTCACTAATCAATGAATTAAACAGTTTGATAATTGTTTAGGCTTGTTTGTTTGTTCTTGTTATTTGAACAATATCTGACTTTTTTATACCACTTCAGAAATTTAATACTAAGTTTTGTTTTGATTATTTTTACTAATGCTAAGAGATTTCTTATGGGAACAGTTGTTTCTCAACATTTTATTAATTTTGATGTTGACTGAATTTTGAGAACAAATAACAATTTTAATTAGTTGCGTCTTTTGATGTGAGTATAAAAATAGTTGTGTTTTTTAAAATTAAAATTAGTTATATTTCAAGTTGTTAAGTTTATTTTAAAATTGACAACATTTATCCTGATAAGTTTTTTCTTATAATTTTCTTCTTATTTCTGGAAACTCACTTTTCAGATGTGATTGTTTGTTTTTAATGAATAAAGTTCAGAATTAAACATAAAATAGGTCAAAAGTACATTTCGTGAATCGAAATTTTTAAATGAGTGTTAATGCAATTAAATTTTTTCATATCTCTGTTAAATATAAATAGACTTCTTAACTTAAATCATAAGGTCTACAGTGGCAAATACTAAAGTTGACTTCAACTTAATTTTAAGCAACTTAAGGGTGAGTACTACTTTTTCCTTTATTTCATACCCACTGCCTAGCATTGTCTACTTTTTACTGCTTGTGTGGCATTTGTTGAGTGAATGAATGAATTTTTCTGTATTTGTATATGTAGTTGTAAGGGTAAAAAAATTGAGGTTGGCAATCCATGAAATTTCACTCCATATTTATCTTTTCTTCCCTTCTGTTTATCTTTACTGATTTTCCTTTCCTTTCCTTTCTTCCTTTGTCTCTAGTACCAAAAATGGCCACAAGATGTATTTTGTTTATCTTAGAACAAGCATGAATGTGTGGTCAGTGAATGCATGAATGAACTATGCAAAAATATGGACATTTAACAGTAATTATTTTATTACAGTATTTAACATTTGCAACTTTAAGAAATAAGTAAAATGTACTTTATCTTCATAATCTCATACTATATTTTTATAAATGCCTTTTGTTTTTTTCCGTCTTGTCTTTTTTTTTTTGTTTGTAGCCCTGATGAAGAAAAACGCATTCCTTTACTCTGACTCGGAAATTTAGCTGTGAAAGAATATAATTGTTTTAGAAAGTTGGAAAACAATCACACTTACATTTGCCATTACCATTACCATTGGTATTTTAAATATATAAATATATATTTTATTTGTCCCTTTTCCTTTCCCTCTAAAAATTTAAGCAGTAGATTAATTCATAATGACATTAGTGATATGCTTTAAAAATAACTTTTGGTTGAGAGACTAGTAGTATGCATTAGAAAAAATTTTTAATATTAATGGACACCCTCTCCCCAACTTCTACTTCTGTTCCTTTGGTGAAGGAGCAGAGGTTTTGGATATACTTGTATTATAATCAGGGCTTGCTCTGTAACACTGAGCAAAGGTTGAGATTATTCTTAACTCTCTGAATCAGATTTTATTCTTTGGTTTAATAACTTAACTCTGTAGATGTTTAGATGAAATAATAAATACCAAGTTCCTATACATAATAAGGCACAGATTTGGCAGCCAGTAATCTCTATCTAGTGTTTTGCTGTTGTGGAAGACTGGAGTTTAATATTCCACAGGAAACTTGGGGCCCAGTGTAAAATACATGCCTGAGTTAACCCATTTGAGAGGTGAGGAAGCTGGAGTATTTGTGCATCAAATCCCATCAATTTCTGAGTGCAGGCTGCTCCTGGTTGTGTTAAATCTCTTGCACTTCTGTTCTGCCACTTGGGTGACAAAACAGGCCCAAGTAAAACCACAGAAAATCTTAGTCAAAGAAATGCGCATACAGGTAGGTGGAAGTCAGGCCTGTGTGCTGAACTGGCAGGTGTGAGGGATGTGGGTCGGTCACTGACAGACTCTGGTACAATTTTGTTACCTCACATCTGGTAATAAGACCTTAGAGTTCTAGCATTTCTTTCTTTTTTTTCTTTCTATCTTTTGGGAAATGAAATTAGTTACTTTCAGGATGCATGTAGGAAAACTCACAGATTTTCACACAGAAAAACATGTTTCTTTGTCTTATTCAAGGAAACTTGCCAGTATCTTCCAAATCAAATAACTGTCTTGGATGTTGGAGGTGTTTCCCCAAACTAGTTCCTGCATGTTCAAGTATTCTTTAAGTTTTACTTTGGTATGTAAATAGGCAGTCTTGATAAGGACATTAAAAAAAAATTAGACATTGATCAAGAAAGGAGAATTGTTTAGGTACAAGCTTTCAGGTGAATCCAAATTGAAAGGCAGATAAGCACTAAGTAAGTAGTTTCTTGCAGACCACAAAAATGAATAGTCGTTTTTCCCTTCACACTTTCCTGAAGTATGAACTCGGTGTGACATTCAGAGGGTAAAGAGACTAATAACGTTTCATTAATAAATTGTAAATAAGAATACCTTTATATTTATTTCTATAACATAAAGTTGACAAATTGCTTTTGCATTCACTGTCTTTTAAATTCTCTGCACTTTGGAAATGGATGGGAGAAGTCTGATTTTGTTTTACTTTACTTGCATGTGGAACAAAGAAAAAGTCAAGTGAAAAAATAATTCTAGAGAAATTGCAGTAATAGATGAGTGGCAATCTGTGACAGAAGGGAAGAGCAGAAATTG